AGTGCGCCCGAAAAGGTCCAGAGCGGCGATCGAAGATGCGCGCAAACGCATCCGTCGGGGAAAAAAGGTCAACATGTCTTCCACAGATATATAAATTTATATCACATATTTGACTTGCAGCCGTTTTGGTTTCCCCCTTTTTGTTCTGGGCCGCTTCCTTCCGCGACAGATGTCGACGACAGAGACGCGCATGCTGTGCCCGGCGTGCGCCTGTCTGCGACCGCGGACAAAGGCTTGGTGGATGCCAAGCCAGCTGTCCTCCCGCAAACCCAACATCCACCAATTCAACTGTTGTAGAAGCTGCGACGCCAGCGGATTCTTCTCGACTCCGGAGTGGCGGGGACAGGTGCGGGCGACGGTGCTGCGACTGTTGCAGCTGTACCGGGAGCAGAACTGCCAGGCCCACTTTGAGCAGTTCTTGTCCAAGTGGGCCGGTCTGCCGTACCGCGTCCGCAAAGACCTGTCCTACGAAGGCGCGATATACTGCCATCACCGTGGGGAGCGGTGCGACCCCGGCGACAAAGTATATCTCCAAGCCTTGCAGCTGTGCGCTCCCCGTTGGTTGCGGGAATCGGGGTTCGGCCTCGATCGCGCGGCGGACATGCTTGAGGGCATGTTCGGGGAGGCGGCCCGCCTGGGTCAGCCGGACAATGGAGTGTGTAAGTTTTTCAACTTACTGCTCCAGTGTCTGATGCTCCTGTGGTACGCCACGGGCCGGGACCCTTTGTCGTATATGGCTCTGAGGAGAACCTGCGACTTGCAATTTTGTGACCTTTTGGTCACCGAATTCTCCGCTGGCGCTTGCTGCGGAGCTGGAATGCTGCCCTATCGTTGGCGCGGCTAAAAGGTTGCGCGCGCCTTTGCGTTTGCCTGATATACGCGTCCTATATATATATAGGACGCACATATATATATATATATATGTATATCGCTTAGATAAAATATAACAAATAAATCATGTATACGCAATTTTTACGTATATAAACCGTCTTGCGAAAACCAGAAGTTGGGCGCAGTTGTAAATAATAATCAACTTGCGGAATCATGTATATACATATTTATCTGAGGTCACGCGCGTGTATACTAAGACACGCGTGCGGTATGGAAACACGAAAAGAGCATGCTCGACTTACATCAAATATTAAAAGACGCATATATAGACAAAGTACACACTCAGCGGGTCTTATAAGTATAAATATATATATATTTGAATAAATATGTAAGCGTGCGCTTTTGAGGAAGTATATATTTATACAATACGTCTATAGCGGCCTGGCGCCCCATCTTGTTTAAAATCGCACGCGCTCACAGACAGAATCAAAACCTTCCAAAACACAACATGTTCTACTTACCGTCGCACTTGTCCTACTTATTCGGTAAGGTCCATAAGTCGGATAAGTTGACTTATGTTACTTATAAGTATAAGTAGCGTAACAGGACTTATAAGTAAAAAAACACAAGGTACCCTGTTGAGCCGCCACCGAGAACAAGGTCTTTGATTTCTTGCAAACGGTGCAGTCGACCGGCATATCGGTCATCCGGATGCCAACCCTCGGATTCAGCTGCGAAGGGAATCGTGAAATCGATTACCCACAAAGAAGTTAAATTCGTGGTACCCAGCTGTTAAATTAGATTGATCAGCTGTCAGAGGTTGAGATACCCACGGCTACCGCTACCATACCTGGACCTGATGCCAAGCCAGTGGGTGCATGGATGCCAAATTGCGTTCAGGGTAAAAGCAAAGTAAACCTGGACGCCAAACAGTGTGTTGAACAATTCCCTTTGGGCCGGTAACTCGGAAGTTTCATGTCCAGAATATATAATAAACACAATAACATAACATAGACATGTATGTTGAACATATACATGAAGTGCTCATGCCCAGAAAACAAACACAACATCTAGCATCGGTGCGCTACCTTTTTTCTGCACTGAACTTGGTAAAGTAAAACGTGCCACGCCCACACCACAGTACTATGTGGGCACACTAGCTTGCATTCACCAACACGTATGCCCCTCTCTCAACCCAGGGCTCTAGAGCGTATGCGCCAAAAAACTGTTGTAAACACATGTAGTAAACGCAACGTGTTTCACAAAGATTGTAAGTGAGGCTGTTGGAAGTCCAACATTCAAAATTCCACTCTCAGGATCTCTCAGGCAATACCTGGCACAGAGAGTGTGGACATAATTTGCAAACACATGCATCCTGAGGGATTAAGTAATTCAACGAACCACATGATCATAACTCTTTTCCCTCACCTTGAAGCCGTGGTGAAAGTGAAAATGAGCTTTGTACTCATGCCAGCATACGTGGCCACATACGCATTGCATCCGTGTTCACAGACCTTGTTATTCCCCTCAAGGCCAAACACGGTTTTCCGCGACCCATGTTTGAAAATTAGATTTGAATCCCTTTGTCACTTGCCATCACTGCCGCACGCTCCTGGGATTCCATCCACTGCTGGTGGGCAGCCTTCATATCACATCCATTTGCCATAGCTTTCCTCACCTTACTGCGTAGACCAGTGCTCTATAGAGTACAGGTTTCAAAATTCAAATGTGATCCAAAAAACTTCTATAGAACCAAAACGTGTTCATGCAATGTTTAGGGACATAGTCCCAGCGGATCTTGTGTTTATCCGACTTTGGTTTCTGTGAAGATGAAGAAGAAGCTGCTGCTGGCGGTGTGGTTTCCACTGCTTCCTTGTCATCCTTTGCCGTGCTCCTCGAAACCTTTTTTGTTCCAGAAACATTTTCATCACATCACAATCAACGTCTAAAAAACATCAACATATGAAATCAAAAAATTGATGAACAAGATTGGTGGCCCCCTTCTTTGCAAAGTTCTGGTGCCATGCCCTTGAAGTCACCCGCTTGCGCTCAGCACGCTCTTCCAAGATTGCCTCCTTGGTGACGGGGTCCATATCCTCCGTCAGTTGCACCCCAGCGTATTTCCACTGACTGGCAGGAACATCCTCCCAGGGAGTGATCCAAGTTCTCAACAAACCAAACCTCACACCAAAAGAATGGTTAAATCATTGCGCAACAACAAGTTGGAAAAACACACCAGTGGATCCTCAGCAGGCAATGCATCATCACATTTCATCTTTCGGAGACGTTTGCGAGCTGGCTCTGGGGTGAGCTCTGCTGGAGCACTGACGCATTGCGATGCATCGTCCTTCACGGTCATATTCTGTTTGTCAGCATTTTCCTTGTCAGCATTCTCCTTGTCAGCATTCTGCACCTGCTCGATCACATTCGGCGTGGTCTCTTCATCCAATGCCTCTTTCTTGGTCTCTTCATCGTCAAAGAGTCGTTTGGGCTCAACCTGATTGGAAACTCTTTTGCATCAATGGTGTTGAAATGAATAAACACTGAACAAACCGTTGACTGCAAAACTATGCAGAATACAAAATCCTTTTTGTTTGTTAAGTCACCGTCTCATTCACATTGTTTGAAGACATACCATTCGAAGCACCCCAGAAGTCGTCAAGTGCATCTGGCTGAGTATCAGGGAAAGTCGCCTCATACGGGTCGAAGAAGGCGTAGTGCTGCTTTGCTGAAACTTCATCTCCATGAAGTGGTGCTGCCAAACCCCGCACCACCTGAAGATCAACAAGTGGCCTTGCCTTGCCACCCAATGAACTTGAAAAAAATATTCCAAACTAACAAGAAATAACAATGGAACTTGAGGGTCACAGTCAAAGTGACTTCACGTGGAAGAGGTTCAACTGGCTGAGCTTGACCAGGGACTGCTGCAAAGCGTTGCAAGTTCTCACTGAGCTTGAACTCGAAGAACTGGGCATTCTGCCTTTGCAAATCCTTCTTTGGAACTGGAACCACAACAGGTGGAGCTGGCTTAGAAGCCACAGGCACTGGGACAGACATGGAGCCAGTGAAGCCGGGTTTTGAAGCCAGCGAAGCATTCAAATGCTTCTCCATCAAGGTTTCGGCTGCACGACTTCCCTCCATTTCAAGATCGACCACAGGCGCAGACATGAGAAAAGACTGACAAAAGCCTACTGGGAGCAGCTATGATTTGGGTTCAAAGAACTGCTTCCATGACAAATTATTGGTGACAGCATCGAAAGCAAAACAACATGACACAAGACAAACAGTTCCTCAGCGACCAACAAACACTTCTATTTTCACCTGAGGGCTGCTGCAAGCAATCTTTGCGCACAGGATCTGAATCACACGACTTGGTAGACCATGTTCGCCTCCATTGTAAAGGAATCCTTGAAATACCAAAGAGGCTTAGCTGGACCCAGCACTTTCTCACGGGAAAAGTGGCGCATTCCTGAAGTACAGAGTTCCGAGCGCCCCGAGGTCAACCTTGTCAAACATGCCCACACCCTGCCCAAAGAAGTGCACACAAAACTTATTTTAAAAGATCCATTCAAGCAGCTCCACACCAACGTCAGCCAAGAACTGTCTGCTAGAGCCTTGTAGCCAATGAGGCCGGCAAGGTTTGTGAACTTCGCACTTTTTGCCAAAACAGGGTTTGGCCTGTATACGCTGTGTGTCTCATGGGTGATCTCATACCTTTCAGGGATGAAGGTCAACAACCACCATCTCAATTTGCTTTTAACACCCTCACCTGTCTGCCTCTTCTCCTCGCATGACGGCTGCTGGTCGTGTGAGCTTGTGCCCAGCGATGGTAGTGTCCAGATGCCCCTCCTTCTCCAAGTCATTCATCAACTTCTTGAAAGGCATTGGCAGGGAGTCAGACTTTCCAGTGGTTGAGGATTCTTCAAAGACAACCTCAATCTCAACCCTTCCAGATTCAGGCCAATCACTGAATCACTGCAGTAGAAAAAGTATAAAACAAGACAATGTGTCCTAAAGGATGGCCTAGAAACCCTTTGCTTCTCATCTTGAAGTCTGAACTCGATGGCCTTGTTTTCGTTCGCCGATTTGCTGAGAAAATCCTTCGCCTTGTAGGGGTGGCATCATCAATCAACAAGAAACAAGGACTCTGTGAACCAAGTTTGGGCACCCTAGTCCTTTGCACCGTCGCTGATCCATGAGCCCCCAGCATACAAGAAAGCCGGCTTTGCATTCGGAGAGGTGATGCCTGGAATGGTGAATTTGCTACCACAGGTGATCCAGCACTTGTTCTCCACAAGGTAGCACGTGACCTGCTCCTGAAGGCTCAGCACCACCGTCGCGGTGAGGGTGGGGTACTTTGCCTTGAACTGATCCACAGTGATGCCTGCTGGAGCTTCACGGATTGTCTCACTCGGTGTCACCACCTTTGCTGCAGCATTGGTCTCAGCAAGGTCCATGTTCTCAGCACTTGTGGTGGGTGCTGGTCTCGGGGCTGCGTTTGCATCAGAGACAGGCTGAAAGACTGAGTCAAAGTTGTGCAGCCGCACTCTCCAATCCGGGTCTTAGCGTCAAAAATTACAATTGAAATCCAAAGGCATCCAAACTAATTAGAACCAAGAAAACAGCATACACAAAAAACAGCATATGGATCAAATGAGAAACTCCTGATGGGATCATTGAGCCATTTCTGTCGCATCTCCTGCGGAATGGACAAGTGGCCATTGACCATGTTGCAAATCTTCAGCGTGGGGATCTTTGCAGTGCCAACGGTTTCCTCTGGTGTTGGGTTGTACTTCGGCTGCACCTTCGCAAACAATGAGCGGCCTGCCTTCCAATCCTTCAGGGATAGGCAGCACAACAACAACTGGTTGAGAACTTTTTTTGAACCTCAGGCCTCCAGAAGTTTGTCTTTGATCTGAGTCATTGCATAGTTGAATACCACAGGGCTCGCCTGAACAGCCTCGCTGCTGCATCCCAGGAAGCATGTCTCTTGAAGTTCGCCCATCAGTTCGTAAGCTACCTTAAACAATTCTTTTGCAGACAAAAAAGACACAAAGCAAGAACCAACATAAAAGAAGCAACATGTTCAACTTCAAGCTCAAAGTTTGTTCAACTTCAAGCTCAAAGTTGCTTTCTCAAATGCGCCTTCGTAACATGTTCTGTGGTGGAACAGCCCACATTGGTTCTTGAGCGTTGAAACTCTGCTCAAGAGGGCTTGGAGGATGGACTTGATGACTCCAGGGGATGAGATGGAGTCACATACTCGCTCATGTTCAGGGGCGGTGCTGGCTTGCATGCGAGCAGATTCCAGTAGTCACATCGCGTGAACGTGTTCTCATCCTGGAGCGGCCTTTCTGAATTGCGAGGTGCACGAAATAAAGTTCCCAACTTCGCCCCCAAGGTGCTTTCCAAGACCACCATGTAGGCAGGAATGGACTGCGGAAAACTCCTCCCCCAGGAGAAAAGTGTCTACAGGGTCCACATACATTTCCTATCAACCCAATGCCAAACACGTCAGCTTTACTCTTGGAACAAAAAACAAATGTAAACTTGATTTGGAATGTGAAATGTAATGTGTCCTGTTCCCATGAAGCTGCTCCAAGCAAAATGTCACTTGTACCATCTTGACTTCCATATTCATGCTGGTGAACTTGTCCTCCAACCTCCTCATGGTTTCATAGTTTCATTTTAATACACGCAAATGGAGAAACATTGGTCCGACAACTTTAAATAAAAACACGCTGAACCAAGAAATGCTCCAAGATTCCTGTACTCGCCCCTTAAACCGCCCAGGAGCCCCTCTGCAGCCAGCAATGGTGCTACAATGAAGACAACACCTCCACACAGTATCATGTGACAAAAAAGCACAGTGACACCCATCAAAAACATGAACAGCTGAGGCACTGAAGTTGGGGTTGATGCTCAAGATCTTGTAGCACCAGTCAGCAAGTTCCTGCACATCTGGGGCTGCAAGCCGCCCCAACTTCAGTAGGTCAGCGTACCCGATGTGGTGCATGTGTTCAAGGTCTGCGCCATCGAACATGCTCTTGGCTTCCTGGAGCACTCTCCGTTGCATGGTAGCAATGTTGCCTTGCTGACTGCCAACAGTTACCAAGAGCCTCTTCTGCATGAATGCCTCCACAATGCCAAGCCCAACCTCCAATTGAGACTTGAGGTGAAGGACCTGCTCAGGCCCAGGTTGAAATCGTGTGTGAGATGTTCCAAAGTTGGTTAAAACATAGCATGAATGTGGACAAAGAACATGTTTGGGCCTCTGTAACGTGTTTGTTGGACTCAAGCTTGTTGCAGCGTAGATTGTAAGCAACGGCTGCTTTAAAGTCAGCAGCGAGGTTCACACAGTCCAATGAATACGTTGCTTGGGCCAGTTTCTCCTCAATCAGCTTGCAATCAAACAAATGAGTCAAAGTCAATGGAGTGTGGGTGGGTATAGTAAACAAAAGACCACCAAAAAAAACTATTAATATAGGACTTGCATCTTCAGCCTCATCTATGTCACCAGCATCGTCAGTGCCGGATGCGGGAGCACTGCTCTTGATAAGCGCACGGCCCACATTGTCTTGCCACATCGCGGTCATCTCAACTTTCATGGTCGCAGGCTTGGCGATGAGCAAAGCATCCAAATCCTGACCATAGTCCCTGAGTTCCACAAGTCTTTCAATTATATAGAAGACCATTTTTAGAGATGCAAAATGAAAACAAAAAGGACTTCTCTGTGTATGAGGCACCCGTTTGTGAACGTGTCCAACATATTCTGAAGCATTTGCTCAGTGACCTTCAGCACAAACAATGACATTAATAAAAACAAAGAATCAGCAAAACAGGTTTAGCAAACCTGTGTTGTTTAACGCAGTGAATACTGAGGGCTTGGCTCCAGGCATCTTCCTGCTCTCCTCCACCACCCAGGCAGCCACACAGCATTGATCTACATGCCTTGACCACACTTCTTCACCCCATCTCAGTCGGCTCCTGGTAGATCGCTTCACACGTCGTGCATTGACAGACCACCATTGGTTGTACTTTTTGAAGTGAAGCTCTTGAGCGGCCTCTGATACCTAGATGTCAAAAGGGGTGAGAAGAGGCACCAATCTTTGGCAGTTTCTGAATAACACATGGAACTGAAACATGAAATAGCTACCACCAATCTCTGGCCAAGGTACTGTCAAGATCATGACCCATTGGCCACTGACACCCTTCGCTCCCTCATGTAGACGGTGACGTCGTGATTTGAGAATGCTCTCATTGTAAGCTGACTCTTCCCACTTGTTGAAGTCTAAATGACTTCTAATCAAACGTTTTGTGGTCGGAGTCATTCCAATCACAATGCCCTCGATGCTCCTCCTCATGTCGTCTGAGATTTGCCACTTTCGGATCGCCAGGTTGGATTTGTATGTGTTGTATCTGTCAATTAGCATACCAAGCAATTCCACATCTGTCTTCTCCTCCAAGCTGACCTTGAAGCGCTCTTCCACCATGAGCTTTTCAAATCGCAAGCTCATCTGTAAAGCCTGAGTTGGTTGAATATCCTGCATGCACAGAATGCACACAACTCCCCAAAATCAACAAACTCAAACCAAACACATAAAAAAAAAGGTCAAAAGGTAACATCACAAGCAGGCATCGTTCTTCCGCTGTCGTTCCGCACCCTGGCATGACAGCTGCATTGCCTCAAAGGAAATCTCCTCATGTGCTTGGCCGTGTGATATGCAACTGGGCAAGTTCCAAATGTCACGGATTGCAGGGAGCAAAGGCAAGATCAGATCCTGACAGGCAATCTCTAGGATTTGGCAATCTCAAGTTAGTTCTTTTATCACAACATTGAGATAAACAGCTTTAGACTTCATGTCCTGGCCAGAAACTGGATCCAAATCTGATGCAAGGAGGACTAGAAAAAGCCCAGCGGTCCTCGACTGCAGTAAGGCTGAGCCACCAAAACCAGTCCCACTGAAATTCACACAACAAAGAACTTAAAAGCGAGGACAACACATCACAAGCAAGTGGCAGCCGAGTGAAGCCTTTCTTCACTGAGAGGCTCGGGTTGTATGGCGAATCATCCATTGGCTCTGTATCCTCACCTCTGGAGGAGACAAATGTCAGGTCCAAAGGCTCCCTGTCCAAACGTGATCCTGAAAAAAATGAAGCAGATGACCGTTGTGAGGAAGTCCTCGATCACTGGAAGCCCATCATCAGGAGTATGGATTCGGATGGCGTTCAACGGCACCCTCACGTTGACACGAGAATCCATTGATCCGGCTGGTGGGCCAATGTCCTGATAAACAATGGCAATCCCATCACATATCATGCTTTGTCTTAGCTTTCCACGATTTACACAACCACTAAACTATGAAACAAACACAAAACAAAGGTCCAGCTTGCCTTTCATTGCTGAGGAGCAGTTGGCCAAGTTGCCTGCTGAAACGTTTTGCCATGAATTTTGAAGGCATCCTCCAAAAATGTATGAATCTTCTGGCACGTGTTTCCAGCACAAGTATCTTGAAAGGCATTCATGACGACGTCCAAAGGATGGACTGTGGCACCCGCATCTGCATTCATCTTGCTAGGGTCAGTGAACAAGGACAGGTATTCAAGGATGTCCTGTCTATCAACTGGTGTTGTGAGCATTTTCCTGATCAGACCTTCCATGTTTACAAAGGGGTAATGTTAACAAAGCTAACATTTGTAACAAAACAGTCCTTGACAAAGCTGGTGTCGCCTTCAAGTTTCTTGCAACCAGCCATCCATTCAGTCTTCCTCTTTTTCGCTACCGGATCAGCCACCTCTGTCTTCACCTGACCAATGTGATGAAATCATCAAAGAATACACTAGTGGATTGATTTAACCAAATAGGTGAAAACAACAGCGCTAACCTATTTCAAACCTAGAAGCTGGACTGGGACCAGGCTCTTCTTTCTTAGCATCAACCTTCTTGACCAAATCCTTGATGTCCTCGCTCTTTGTAGGTGACCCTTCTGGCTTACATTGTAGTGCTCGCTGAGCTGCAGCTACCCCACTCCGAAGCAATGGGCAATCCATGGTCGGGCTACCCAGGTCGCAATGGACAGTCCCTCAAACACCGCTTGATTGGATAAGGTGATAAGCGTGTTCAATTGCATCAGGTTTCAAAAAATTGTGACAACACTAAATCGACATGGCTGTCCCCGCGCAATTGTCCAAAGTCGTCGTGGCTGTCCCCGCGCAAGTGTCCAAAGTCGTCGTGGCTGTCCCCGCGCAAGTGTCCAAAGTCGTCGTGGTTGTCCCCGCGCAAGTGTCCAAAGTCGTCGTGGGTTTGCTCCTCACCCCCACCCATTTCTTACTGAAGTCTTCTTCGTATTTCCTATCCCACCCACAAGGAAAAGTCTGACGTTATCTATCAATCAAAGTCGGTGGGGGTTGGCTGCCCACCCACAAGGAAATCATCGGACGTACCCCCCCCAAGGATTCTTCAATTTTTCAAAAAATTGAAAATCGGTGGACCCCCCTCTACGCCCTATGTTTTCCTTGTGGTTGAGCTGCCCACCCACAAGGAAAAGTTTGACGTTATCTATGAATCAAAATCGGTGGGGGTGGCATTGTTCGTATTGGCAATGCTGAACTTCTGCACTTGGGCCAGCAGTGATTTGTGCTGGCCAGTAAACAAAAAAGAGCTGGGCAGACCTGGAAACTGGCTAAGCTGCATCTCATAGGTACGTCTGGCCTAAGTGCAAATTTGTC